GAGAGAGAGAGAGAGAGAGAGAGAGAGAGAGAGAGAATGAGAGAGAGCGCGAGAGTTATAGACATTGTCCATGAAAACCAAAATATTTTAACCAAGGGTTGAATGACAAATTGGAAACTGGGGAGGGCAGAAGGAGAGTGGAAAGGGTGTATTCTTTCCATACACACACACACGAAAAAAAATCTAGACAATTTCTTTTTAAAGAAAAGAACCCAGTCCCCCCGCCCCCACGGAAAACCTGCCCATTGTTGGAACGACCTTCCATTCCATCCGGACAAAGAGAAACCCAACAATTGGCTAAAACTACGAAGAACACAGTGGCCTGCGATTCTGCTTTCTGTCCACATAAGGCGTCCTTCCTTCTCCTCTTCCTTTCCAGAGCTTCTGAGCCAGAGATGAAACTGGGAGAATGAGCAGGGGCATTGTCTTTTGTTGATCATTGCGTCTTTCACGTGTGTCCTGTTCGCGTTTTGCTTTAACTTAAACCAAAGACCTGACTACCACTGGAAAGTCCAGCCCACCGCGGGTATTGTCTCGTCTGTCCGTGCATCGCCGTCGCCTGGTGTTACTGGTTATCACAAAGGGTTCCTCCCAGCAAGGGTTCACAAAACCTGGAACTTCCACGAAGATGTCTGGTCTTTATAATCCAAGCAGTCAGCATTGAAGTTTAGCTTCCAGGAGGCCGTTTGGTCCTTATAATCCAAGCAATCGGTAGTCGAGTTAAACCCCAAACTGGACGCCCCATAGCCCTGGGTAGAGAGGGCGGCTGGGGACTGGTTGAGATGGCTGGCCACGGCATTGGTGCCCATGGGGCTGAGGGCGGCCCCTGGTCCGGGGAGCTGGTGGTGCATCGGGGTCAGGTAAGATCCACAGTCCATCCCCCCGAAGTAGGAGGTCGAGCCAGCGTACCCTTGGCTGTAGCCGGAAGCCTGAGTGTAAGTCATGGGGTAGGACCTCTGCATGCAGGAGGAGGAGGTGGACAGGGGGTCTGAGAGGGGCGAGATGGACGCCGGGCTCCAGATGGACACCGGGGCGCTGCTGCTGCTGGAGATGGCCGGGACGGAGGTGCTGGCCGGAGGCGTGAACTGCCCGCTGGTGCCGCTCTCGGAGCTCACTTCTCTGGCCGGGGAGCTCTTCTTCTTGGCGGGCCGCACCTTGTTCTGGCCCCCGTTCTGCTGCTGCTGCTGCTGCTGGCGGCACTTGGCCCGCCGGTTTTTGAACCACACCTGGAAAACCAAGAGGAAGGAGAAGAGGCGGGAAGCGCCTGGTCACTGGCCGGAGGCGAGGCGAGGCGAGGCGAGGCGAGGGGGGCACCAGCGCGCTCAGCGTTCCCCAGCCCGGGCTGCTGGCTGGCAAGGCCCAGCACGGAGGGCCCGGGGATTCAAGGCTCGGGAAGGGCGGGCAATCAGAGGGGGGCGCCGGCATGCCGGTGGGATCCCGCTGGGAAGTTCCGCTAGTCGCATCTCACGCCGCTTCCCCTGCCTCCAAAATTCCTTGTTGGCTTTGCTCGAGGAGGCCATGATCCAACCCTGGCCCACCAAAAAGCCCCGCAGGGCTTGGATGACCGGCTGCTGGACCAAGAGCCTATTTCGGTGGCCCCCGATCCCATGTCTAATCTCCGCTCTTCACCGCTTTCGTCAGCTCTGGACTCTCAAAAGGATGCCCAAGCTGGGACAAAGGTGTAGGATCCCCTAATCAATCGCCCTCATTCCTTTTTCAGTGAAATTTTTGTTCACCTTCTCAATGCCACATTTAGCTTCCCTCCAGATTCTCCAAAAGTTTGCCTAGGAAGAGATGATTCTGTGCTTCACTTTGTCCCAGAGGCCAAGTTTTAAAATATTCTTTCTAAGATGTGAAGAACTTTCTGATTGATTAGAAAGAAGAAGGGGGAAAACCCAGCAAGTTAAATCAAACCTTATGCATCTACATTGGCCAAATGCAATAGGGGAACCCATTCCCAGCATGGGAAAAGGATCAGGGTGTATTTACCTGCTTGACACAAAGTTGTTAAAGATAAAAAGCAGGTGAGAAAACGAAATACTGACCCTGTTTCAGCACTAACAAGCACTTCCAAGCAAGTCTTTAAGAAACTAAGACGAATCTGTCCAGTCTGGCTTCTTCCACACTTGGTCCCAAGTATGGAAGACGTTGCAAATGTCGATAAATTCTTATAAAAACTAAACAGATGGAAACAAAGTACCGGGAAAGCTTATGCCCCCAAGTCACACAGAGACCTGGCTAACCTGGAAGAAAATAAACAAGCTAAGATGGGTGATGGCAAATTTGTTTATTTATATTTATATCCCACTTTTCCCTTTCAAGGAACTCAGGTACATACTTTTGCCTCCTTCTCGCAATCTTATTGTCACAACAACAACCCTGTGAGGTAGGCTGAGCTAAGAGTCTGTGACTGGCCCAAAGTCACCCAGTCGGCTCCGGGGCTGAGCAGGAACCCAGATCACCTGGGTCCCAATCCAGCATCCTTACCCAATACACCACTCTGCCTCGCACCACTGCATTGCAGAACCAAGACAGACCTGAGGAAACAGGTGGTCTCATGCTGCCCCGGTTGCTGCCCAATACTGGGTGAAAATTATTTGCTATGTACACCCAGAGGCTTTGCCTGTTGGTGCCTGCACTTACGTGTCACCTATATAGGCTATTGCTCCCTTTGATGTTATGTCTTTTCACTCATTGTATCGGTGGTGCTTCTGGCACAAAGAAGAAGAAAAAGCGAGCGGCACCTGTCCAGATACACCTGAGTGCTTTTGCTGCAGGTGAGCTTTGGCAGCTGCTGCGGCCCCCTTGAAGCCCCCAGAAGCAGGGCTGACCCCGTCTGTCGCGCCCTGCCAGGCATCTGCCAGCTCCCCACCTCCATTTCCTTCTTCGTCCATCACCGTCGAAGCCTCTTCGACAGATCCTTTTCTGATCTGGCCTCCTCCGCGCCTTCCCTACATTAGGGCTCAGCCTCGCCACATCTGTACTAGAGACCACCGAGGGGAAACAGGTGTGAGAAATGTCTCCGAGGCACGGAGTCAACCTCGGGGGTTTTTTTAGAAGCAACCAGCGATTTCACACGCAGAACCAAGCAAACCCAGTTGCTTAATAAGGCCACTTTGGGGAAGGGGGATAAAGCCCTCCCCAAGCCAGGGAGCTTGGCAGCTTAGGGTACCCGAAGGACCTCCACTTAAGTCCTATTGAAGTCAAGCCCTTAATTAAAAAGAACAGAGTATTAGGAGCGGGGGTGTTAACAATTAAGGGAGGGATGGGAGGAAAGCACTCTTGTTCTTTTAAATGGGCTGTATATTCTGTTCCCCTCTAGCCCTCCTACAGGATCAGGCCTCGGAATAGGGAGCAGGGAGCTGAGGGGAACCCCACGAACGAGCGAAACTCTCTGCAGCATTGTTCTGGCGCGCAGCAATGCAAGGCCCCCATTCCAGGTGCACGTCTGTAAGCGCGAGCTGCACGGAAATTGGCGGGGTTCACTCTCAAGCAAACTCTTCTTAGCTGGGGGGGGGGGTCCATCTCCGCTTCCTCCACTCGCTCTGTCTCTCAGCAGGGGCCCTTCCATGCTCCAAGGGACCTAAGGATTTTGGTGAACCCTGGTCCCTCCCCGGGCAAGCTGGAAACAAGCCTGCAGCGGAGCAAGGTGGGAATGAGGGGAACCGCTTGGGCAGCCGCCTCCTTCGATGACGCGCGGGGGACGACGACGTGCTAAGACCAGCAAATACATTTCCGTGCAAATTGGGGATAAATTCTGCAGAAACCTTCGGAGCAGTGATCTGAAAGGGAGAAGGCATTCCACCAGCTCTCCCAGTAGGGCGCTTAGCACAGCTCGGTGGCAAACGATGCCCCACACTTTCCCGGGGGCACAGAGCATCTTCCTCTGGCACTGGGCGCCCAGGTCTGGCCTGGCTGGGTGCTTGCCGAGGGCCCACGTGCAGCGGGGGGGGGGGCAGCAACGAGGGGGCAGCTAGGACGAAGACGACACACGGGGCGAGAGCAGCTGGTGACAGGGTGGTCCCATAAAATGAGGGGCCGGCCCCTTCTGGAGAGTTCCAGCATTTGCGTCTCCCTCTGACATAATCTCTCTACACAAGACTGCCCCGGTCGAGTTTCTCTGTTGCCTGCCGTTAAATGCTCTCTTTATTCGTTTTTAAAGGGCAGGCCCCGTCTGGTACCTTTGCAGGATGCAGAATATTTGGGACAGGGAACATTCTGCTGGGGGCAGGCAGGTGGAGGTGGAGAAAAGGACCCGGAAGAGCAAGAACAGCAGAAAGAAAAAAAGAGGAAGAGGAGGCCGAAGTTGCCATAGAACCAAGAGGAAGGTGGCCCATCCTTCCTAATCCCCCATCTCCCCCACCCCTCAACCAAGCTAGATTCTCTCTTAATAGTGTTCTGGATCATTACCATTTTATGCATTTGACGGACTGTTGGTGATTTTTAAAAAATAAAAATGATTTTTCATGGCTTAAAAATGATGCTCAGTTGAGTGGCCATTAAGATAGGGGAGGCTGTTGCAGGACAAAGGAAGATTGGCAAAACTGAAATACATTTATAAACATATTTAATGTAGCCCCATGCTGATGGGCATGTGCTACAAATTTCATGCAAACATGTTCCAGCAGCTGCAAAGTCTGTTCGTCTTTCAAAAGCAGTCGCATGTCTTGGAAGCCTCTACCGTGCATGTGCGAATACATATTTTAAAGCCTGTGCATGAGATGGACACGGATGCCAAAGATGGCTTTGGGCTGGGGCTTTCTACCCCAGGATCACACAGAGCAAAGCACAATGGGACGGGGTATGCTATGCATCTAGGTGGCGAAAGTCTCACAAATTTTGGTGAGCGCTAGGAGGTTTTTACTACCTCGCATCCTGAAGATGGTTTAAACATATCTCAGCCAAGTGTTTCCTGCATTGTGTTCCACAGCCTCCCTTACAGGTGGGTTTGTTGGGAGGCTAGAAGGAGATGCCGTTTAGTGGAATAACAACTCCACTGAAACGGTGGCGAGTCTAAGAAATGTATTGAGAATGCATGAAAAGAAAATTGGGAGGGAGGAGACTCTTGCCTGGACAACTCTCTACTGTAGCTTTATATTGATTTTATACCTGTTTAACTGCCTGGCTTTCCCCAAAGCACGGCCATAATTGCACTTTTGTGAATCCTTTTTCAAAGAGCCATAGGTCACCCCACAGCTCTCCAGTTCCAGAATTTCCTGGAGAGAGTGAAAGGCTATTAAACCAGTGTACATCTGTGGTGTAAACGCCCCTCGCTGTTCCCCCACACCTAGCACGTCTTATCAGGCCTGGATGGGGATCCTGCCAGCATCTCCTGGGCACACCCCTTTGCTGGGAGCAGCCAGCCGGCTCGGTCCTTTTCAGGCACACAGGAGGGCAAACCTGGCTGCAATCGAGGCCTTTGCTTCCAGGTTAAGGGCCATTTCAAACGCTTTCACCCCCATAAGAGAATCACAGAAACCTACATATCAACAGTGACATGCGAAGATGCTCCGGTGTATCTGCACGTGCAAGGGAGAATTTATCATCTCTATTTGTGTTTCACTTTACTTCATGCAGGAAAAACGGCTTTCCTTGTATGAGTTTTGTAACATGTGAATTACCTCTGTAAATATATTTAGGATCTGGAGGTGACTCAGTGGAGGGTTCCCAAGATATGGGGTTTCATTTCTCCCAGGGGGAGTACTGAATTTCCTAGAAATCAGCTCCAGCAGCATAGCCCAGGGCTGCTGCCCGCTCTAAGCAGAAGGTGAAACTGAGAAAGAGCAAAGTGCAGAACTCAGTTTTGTCTTACAGACCTTGGATCCAAGAGCAAAACTTCAGCTGATTTCAGTAAGCATCGAAAAACAGGTTCAGACTCCTTGAGGTGAAGGGGAAAAGATCTTTTCTGTTGTTGTTTTTCCCCCCAAGACAGAGATCTGCCAGGGATCTGGCACAAGCTCAGAGTCTAGCTGCAAACCATTTAGGGAGGGAGGCAAGAAATTAAAAAATGGGGGGGGGGCAACAGAATCCATTTCTCATTTGATGAAACAGATGATCCATCAACAAGTCCAGGGGTGAAAGGGGAAGGGGTTCTATTCTTCTAATGGATTTTTCTGAAGCAATTACATAGGCTCTTTGGGAACTTTTGGGGAACTCCCTGGGAAGTGCCCTTTACAAACCGTAGCAAAACTCAAATCCATCATTCACCTCTCCTCCAGCAGATTCACTTGCTGATGACACAAGCTTGCAAACCCCACAGGTTACACCCCTTCCCTTTCATTTTTGCATTTGCCACTGGGCAACCTTTCCCAGAGGGCAACCTTTCCCAGCCTGGTCTGGTCCAAATGGGTTGGACTACTGTGCTGGCTGGGGGTACTGGGAGTTGTAGTCCAGCACATCTGAAAGGTGCCAAGCCGGAGAGGATGGCTAAAGGTGCAAAATTAAATGGAAATGTTTGTCTGTGGAGTGATGCTCAAAGTTCAGGGCCCACGGGCTGCAGCTTAAGTCTAGCACCTGGAAATTTGTCTCCTGCACTGAAGGACAGATCAAGACATGCTTCCCCACTCGACCTCTTCCGGCTCTGTGCTTTGGATCCACTGAGATCCATCTACCAGAAGCATCAAGATTTCTCTGCCTTTCAAATTAAACTGTTTCATTGGCTTCCAGTAGAAGATGGCACAGCACGCATCTTTTTTAAAGATGATTGATTAACATGTACTCAGAGGTTTGCTGCAGTATGGAAAGCAACCAAATGAAGGCTTAGAAAATACGCCACTGGAGTGTTGTGGAATTCAATACTGGTTAGCTACAAAAGCTTGAAACCTTGCAGAACCTCTCCCTGTCCCATCACGCACCTTTGAACCTGAAATGGTCCCCTTGTCCATCAAACCTCTTCTGAAGCAACTCGAGGAACTGCAAGGTGGGCTTCCCAAGGGAAGCTGCACTCATCCGGCCATTGCTCTGCCGAGCAAAAGACCCTCCCATGCCCAAAGCCATCGTAGGGAGGGAGGAGCAGCGGGGGACTGTGTGGCCCCCAGCCCAGGCTCCAGGAGTCCTTAAGGAGGGGGAAGTAAGAGGCATGACTGCATGGAAATCTTGGCGGGTGGAGACGAATGGTCTGTGGCCCTGGTGAAGCTGAGCAGGTCCCGGCTTCAAAGCAGCAGAGATGGGCTCCTGGGCGTGAGCTGCTCTCCAGGAAAAGGCATGGGGGAAGGCAGCCTTCCCCAACCCAACCCTTTCCAAGGGGATGGATGACAGCTTCCATTATCCCCAGCCAGCATGCTACCCAGGCTATGGAGCATGTTCCTGACACATCTGGACAACAGGTTGGGGAAAGATGGTGCAAGAGTCTGAAATGAGGGCCCTGCAGGGTCAGAGCAAAGGTCCGTCTCAGGGATGGGAGAACGGGTGCATCGCTGGCGGGTTGGGGCCTGCATCCCCCATCATGCATCCTCTCTGGCCAGGCTGGCTGTGGCTGATGGGGCTGTGGGCCAACGACAGTCGGCCACCTCAGCAGAAAGGATTCACTGTTCTGCTTTCTTCCATTCCGGGCAGCCCTCCTCTGTCTGGTGCAGAATTCCTGACCATGGACTGTGCTGGCTGGGAATGATGGGAGCTGCAGTCCAACAGGCACCCAAACTGGGGAAGGCTGGTTTAGGGAGAGAAGGGGGCATCTCCCCACCTTCGTATTTCTTTCTAAACCTTCCTCCCTACCCTAGACATTCTGACCCGAGCCCCTTGCTGGAAGAACCGGACCCGAATCCTACGGTGGAGCTTCTCTCCTTGCAGATCCACGCACGCTCTTGCCCTCTTTCCAAATGCCACCAGAAGTTGGTCCATCAAACCTCCTCTGTGCTGGGCAGGGCCTAGCTGGGGATGTATCCACCCCGGGTTTCAGTCTGACCTGCGAAGGAGCCGTGGCGCTGAACCCTTCCTCCAAGCAGGCTCAGCACCACGGACAGCTCCGCCGTTGGTCAGGCCCACTTGCCATTCCTGGGTGCACTGCCCCATTGGACACTGGAACCTCCAGCCACTGCGGCCCACAGCTGATGCCCTGGCCCCCTCCCGGCACTTGGGAGGAAGCGGGACCCTTCCCCGCTTCCGCTGCGCTTACCTGCACTCTGGACTCCGGCAGGTTGATCTTGAGGGCCACCTCCTCCCGCATGAAGATGTCCGGGTAGCGAGTCTTGGCGAAGAGGGCCTCCAGCACGTCCAGCTGGGCTCGGGTGAAGGTGGTGCGCTCCCTCCGCTGCTTCCGAGGGGTGGCTGCGGACGAAGGCCAAGCGGGGCGTCAGGGGGCGTGGCTACCCTGGGAGGGGCCCAGGGGGCGACTCCCGCCCCCCGCCCCCTGTGGGAGGCACAGGCCTGGGCAGGGGGCAAGCCTGGCCCATCTCCACTGCACCAAGCAAACCCCGCGAGGCAGTGCATGGGGGGACTTCAAGGCCCCAAAAGAAAACATGCTTTTCCCTCGGAAGGAAGTCTGAGAAGCCCGTGGCGGACCCTCCTTGCGAGCAAGTGTGCGCTGTGCTGCGGGCACCCTGCACGTGCAGGAGCGTGCCCCACGGAGTCGCCACCAGACCCTCCTTCCGAGGGGGCGCACGTGCTTGGATTTCAGACAGGCCCTTGCGCACAATCACTCCGCAGCCCATCCTACATGAGCTTCAAGGAGCTCTGACTTCCCCCAAAAGTATGCGGAAGAGGACAACCTGCAATCAAAGCCACACTCAGGAAGAAGAGAGCGGGGATTAATTTTGCATAAATAGGGGAGGATGCGTGGCCTTCCAACCTGCGCCTCCCCTGGAGAATGTCCCCTTCAACACAAAATTCCAAGGAAGCGTTTGCACAGGTCGCAATCGAACCTTTACGGATAAGAGCTGGGGGTACTTCGAAGAGAAGGTGCCATGCCAGCCAGGTGCTTACACCTGCTCAGAAGTAAGTGCATCAGGTTTAACACATTTTGCGCTCCTGAAGTGCACGGATAGCAGCGTTACCTTAGAAGACTGACGGAGCTGCCACAGAAACATTACTGAAGGGCAAATCCCAGAGCACTCAATGGAGCCCACCAACAGGTGGAGGTGGGCGGGCGGCAAGTGCACCTGTGTCTCAGCAGAGCATCCTCCTCGCTGCGCCAGCCTGGGAGCAAGTCATGCTGAACAGGGCAGGGGGCTTGCTTTGCACGGAGCGCACCTGGCCGGGGGTCAGGCATATACACAGACTAGATAGGAACGGCAGAACTGCTAGCTGGAGCAAGCCCAAGTCCATGAATCCGAGTTGTTCACACAGCGCCCAGCCCCAAAGGCCACCAGGGATGGTGTGACACCGGCAACCTAGCAAGCGGGGCACGAGGGCAACAGTGCCCCCCCCCCCACACACACAAGCGCCACAGCAATGGGTGTGCGTGGGTTGCAGTTGGCTCGTGGAGAGCCCCCTTCTCCATCACGAAGTCTTCCCGTCGCCTTTTAAAGCCGGCTAAATCGGTGCCATCGCTACATCCCGTGGCAGTGAATTCCGGCTCTTAATGATGCGCCATGTGAAGAGGGACGTGCTTCTATCGGTCCTGAATCTCCCACCAATTCGCCTTGCTGGGTACGAACAGTACGGAAGAGGGAGAAAAAGGCATCTCTCTCTGCTCTCTTTTTCTTGCATCACTTTGCATGCAGGCATCCCTCATTTTTCCTCCAAAGCCCTCCTCTCAGGTGTTGCAACTTCTCCTCCCAGGCCCCAGGTTGTTTTTACTGACCCTTTCTGCACTTTTCCCAGCTCCACAAGACCCTTTCCAGGGCCCCACGAGCAGAATGGTACCCAATATTCTAAGCGCACTGGCACCAAAGATTTGTACAATCTTGACGGTTTTATTTTCGACACCTTTCCCAATTATCTCTACCGTGGAGTTTGCCTTTTCACTGCATTTGCTCTCTGCGATGGCCTTTTGATCAAGCTGTCCCCAAGATTTTTCGTGGGCAGGTCATTTCCCATCTGCATGTAGCAATGCCTCAACATACACGACTTTACAATTGCTTACACCCGAGCAAGCTTGCCGTTTTGATGCCCAGCTTCCCAGTTCGTAGAAATCCTTTTGGAGTTCTTCTCAATCCCATTTTTGTTCCAACCATCCTAAATAATCAGGCACCATCATCGGATGCCTTGTTTGGGAGAAAGCTGGATACTAATTAAACAAGCTGGCCTGGCACTTTACTGCTCACTCGGAATTTCCCATCATTTATGACAACCTCAGTCACAATATGGATCCCTGTGGGACCCCACGGGCTACATCCATCCACTGGGGGAATTCACCATTTCCTGCTCTCCACTTTCTGTTTAACCAGGGGCTGCCTCTTCTTCCACAGCTGCTAAATTTGCTCAGGAGTCTTTGGAGAGGGAAGCAAATTCACTGCGGCTCTCCTCCCAACTTCCCCACCCACCCTCCACCTTCTCTAAACACATATACAAGTTGGTTCCCCATCTTCTCCACCCTTCAGCTTAGCTTGCACCAGCAATGGGAGCAAAGCTGCTTGATAAGGGCTCCAAAGGGTACTAGCCAGAAATGCCCGAAGGAGCATCGGAGCGGGGCATCTGCAATTCAGGACAGGGAGGGTGGGAAGGTGTTTCCTTCCATGTCTTCCCCTGTCTCAGAGCCCTTCTCCCTGTCTCTTCTGCAAGCCTGCAAGGGGAGGGATGCCGGCGCTGTTCCACCGCGCAGGCCACGCACCGGCTTGAAAGGTTGCCGCGCATCCCCAGAGCGTCCGAATCCCTCTCCCAGTGTCCTTCCAAGGCCCGGGGATGCTCACCTGGGTACCCGACAGATGGATGCAGCAAGTCCATCCCAGAGGTGGTGAGGCTCAGTCCGTTGACTGCATAAGGTGGTTGCTTAAGATAAGACATCATGCTAAAGTCGGGGTGGGGAAGAAGAAAGATGGCCAAAATTCCAGGGGGCGGATGGGAAGCAGGGCCTCTCTCTCTTCCGAGCCTTTTCCCCGCTTTCTCTTTCTCTTCTTCTTCTTCTTCTTCTTCTTCTTCAGGTGCTTTGGGTGGAGAGCTTGCGTCGAGGAAGGCTGGAGATCTTGCCTCTAATTTTCAAAAGAGAGTTGGGGTGGGGGCAGGAAGAGGAATTAGTGCCAGGGGAGGAAGAGGGTGAGGAGGAAGAGAAGGTGTTTGGTTGGCACAGTTCTCCTTGGCCGAGGAAGCACCCAAAAGCAGGCTGGAAAGGCATTATGGGGGGGTGGACTGCCTGGGGGGGCTGCCTGGGGGAGCTCATTCCTGCCACCTCCCCAGAAGTTACAGTGCATACATACAGTAAGTTGCCTCTGCTTAGAAACACCTCCCCCCCCACCCCAAACATACACAGCCTCATGCCCCGCACCCGCTCGCATTTGCCCAGATTTCTGCAGGCTTACCAAGTCGTTAATTGTCTCCAACAAAACTCATTGGGGCCCATTCTGCAGACACAAAGGACCCCCTCGGCTAAATAAATAAGACCGCTAACAAAGCCCCCCCCTTCCTCCACAAAGGAGCATATCTGTTGTCCCACCCCCACCCCCACCCCCCAAGCATTTTAATTACCCTGGATTTTGCAACTGCAAAAGAAGCACCCTCCCCAGCCAAGCCCCCAAATTTAGAATTAAAATACCCACTTTAGAGAAGATCTAAGCTGCGGGGGGGGGGGAGGTTGGGGGTTGCCTCCCTGATCCACAGTCCCCTCTATCATTGCATGCCTGAAGTGATTTCTTTCAGTTGTCCCCCCACCCCAATTAGCACTTGGCCTAATTAGATTTAGAGGGGGGGGGGAAGACCCCCAGATTTCATAGACATTTAGAAACACTTGGGCAGCGGGCATGTTGCAAGCTGAACAAACAAGTAATTAACTTTTTACATGAAGTGGAGAATATTTTGCCCCAGTTCCTTTTTGGGTGTTTGTGGTGGGGAAAGTGACCTTAGGCAGTGCTCACCTCGACCCACGTGTGCAGCCGGGAGAAAAGGAATCTGGATTTTATTCTTGCTCAGGGGCTTTAAAAACTGTTCTGGGGACGAATCCACAAAAGTAAAGTCTCACACCGCGTTGCGGTCCATCCGCCCCCCCCCCCCGCCCCTGGAGGTGTGTGTTTATTCATTTTAACACCTATCTGGATGCCAGCTGCCCTTTCAACCCCCTCCCAGCAAATTCTATGGATTCTGTCCCCCCACCGGCAAACCTTCGCAGGATTCCAAAGGGTGATATTAACCATTCCTGACAGATTAAACCCTTGAGCATTTGGAGGAAGAAAAAGCTAGGTTAAGACTTCTCCAAGGATCTAATGAGATAGAAGTTTGGGGAAAGGTATCTATCAATAGCCAGTTTCTCTTCCCCATAACCCCCCCTTTTTTTCCAGGAGGCAGGCAACGGATGAAAAAGAAAAAGTGGAGTCTAACTAATTGTTGGTATTCTGATCCTAAATTGTTCTTAGCTCATGCCTGGCTGTGGTTTTTCCCCTCTCCAAGGAGCCAGTGGAGTTTTTCCAGTTTATCTGTGCGACAGCATGGAGATTCGCAGGTTCCAGTGAGGTTGGACCCCATCACGGCACTATAAAGGATCTTTTTCACCACTGGGGGGGTCCTTCTTCACATCCCCCCCACCTTTGCCAACCTTTCTGTTGGAAATACAGAACCTACCACAAGCACCACACTTTGAAAAGAAGCCCGGATTTCGGAGAGAAATTACTTCAAAGCCAAGAGGGCGATAGGCTGTCAGTTTCCCCCAGAAATCAATGGCAGGGGCTTCCACGTAGCAGAGCGACCCCAGACATATTTTCCCAAACGTCTCATTGAGTTCAGTGGGCTTCCTTCTTGGGAACAAAAGGGACGGCCAGATTCCTCGCCTTGCATTTAACGAAATTAAAAAAAAAAAAGCTGTAGGACTTTTTATCTCAACCCAAACCCACAAGCTCAAGGAGGGGATGTTTCCAGGACCGGCTTGGAAAGCGATGCCCACGCGTGTGCACGCATGACGTCACGAGGCCCGCTCCACAAGGCGCCAGCGCCCGAAGCCTCGCGTTAACCGCGCACCGTTTGAAGCATCCACACGACCGCACGAACCTATAAAAGCCCAGGTTCCGCGCCGAGGTACCCCAGCGGGAAAACTGTTCGTGCTTCACATCCTGGGTTAGCTTGGATCCCTGTTGCATCCTGCCCAGAGGTAAGAGCTGAACAGGCCGCCGTTGGATGCTCAAAGGGTTGTCGGAATCTGCACCGAATTCAGTGGGGCTGACCCCCATCGAGCAGAGAGAATGGCCTTTTCAGTCTCACTTGGACACCAGATTTCCTCCTGAAGAGCAGTTTCTTCGGGTCTAGAAATCTCCCGAAACTTCCTGAGTTCAAGCAGGTTAGAGGCCCACACTGAAGATGAACTGTGGATTAAGTGACTGCTTCCCCGAAGCCTTTTCCTTAAAACAACCGTCCCCTAACATTAAAAATACGAGAAAAGGAGCCATCCAGTCCTTTAAAACAGTTTACTGGGAAGAAAGTTCGCAAGGGCTGGGACTCAAAACTGGTTCTTAGATTTGTCCATGGAAAGCTCTCCTGAGAACATGCAAATAATTGGATCCTACGAGGAACCGCAGCTAATTAATTTTGTCAAACCTGATTAAACTGCACACACGCCCAACTTTTTAAGGATATTCTCAGAGAGAGAGATGGACACTCTCCATCCAAGATATGAGGCAAAATCTGTACAGCTACGTTAAATTATTGGGGGGGGGGGTAATTCAGCGGTCGTTTCGTTCTCCTCCTGAAATCAAAGCGTTCTGAAGCTCAGTTCTGCCTGTACTTATGCAGAAATAAGACCCGGTATTCGACAGCCACTGTGCCTGTGATCCAGTTGCAAAGCTGCGATCCTGGCCACACTTCCTAGGAAAAGAATCCCAAGTACTCAGAAATCTGAGAGTTGGATTTGGAATTTTGGAGAGTTTGCATTTCTGTTATTCACAGAAATGTATTTTCTTTTGGGATCCAGTTGACTGATGCAGGACGACAGGGAATCCGTGTCCCTCCCCTCTTTAAAAACAACCCAAGAACGGCGCTCTATTAAAAAACAACAACATAGTGCTAAATTAGGATAAAACGAAGCAAGAGTAAGTCCCTGAGCCGCCCCGGGGCACACAAGGACGGTTCAGGCTTTTCCCACTCGCCTTTTCAGTTCCATCCGGATCCATTCAAATCCACTTCAGCTGAATTGATTTCAGCGGGAATAAAGGGGGAAGAGGTCGCCTCTGCGGACTCTTAAGCCCCGTGGGGCTCGCTTCGATAGGGAGGGGTGCTAACGCTGCTGAGGGATCGGGCCCCAGGCCCCACACCAATAGCCGGATGACCTCCCCCCTCCCCCCCATGCACGAAAACTCAGGTCTTCCACCCCTTCCTCCGAGCCTTTGCACGCAAGACAGGGATCCCCGGGAAGGGCCATCGGGCTGGAGCCTGAAGGGATCGCCCCCAAACCAAGGAGGGCTTCGCCAGGGCCGCGATCCCGCTTAGAGCTTCCCTGCGAGTAAGCCCGTCTGAGAAGCCAAGCTTTTGCACCCACTCCCCAAGGAGCCCGATGGGACACTGAGGGACCTGTGCCCGGGGAAGCAGGCACACGCTCGCTGCTTACTCTAGAGTAGGACCCACTGACCTCAGAGGGACTCGGTACTGAAGATATTCGACACAGCTCTCGCTCTATGTATATTCGGCTTCTTGCAAAGACCCACAGCGACAGGCAAGGTCCCCGGCGCCATGCCGTTCCCCCAACAACAACCTTGTGGGGTAGGTTAGGCTGAGAGTCCGTGACTGGCCCAGGGTTCCCCAGGGGGCTTCAGGACCGAGCACCGACCCGCGCCCAGATGCCGCGAGCTTCCGCCGCCCCTCGCGTGGTCGGCGCATCTCTCCCTCCCGGTTCCCCCAGCCCCGCAACCTTCCCCGCGTAAGCTCACCTCACCCTTTTTTCCCTGATCGAAAACTTTCCAGTTCGTTCCCTTTCTCTCTCTCTCTAGGGTTCAGAAAACGCTTTAAAAAGACTGCGCCTACGCTCGAGTCGGTTTCGATTCACACCGCTTTACTTTCCCTTCCTCCTCCTCCTCCTCCAGGATCTTTTGTGGAAACCGAATAAAAAAAAAAACCTTCCAGAAAATATTGGGCCCAATTCACCCCAAAGGAAAGCAGTTTCAGCTAGATCGATTTGAAGGCGGGGGAGGGGGGGTTGAAGAACAGCGCCTGTTTTAAGGCTTCCCTTGGAAAGCACCCTCAGCGAAACGTGTTTACCTCGGGCTGGATCGGGCCCTGGAAAAAATGACTTTCCCCGAGTTAAAGATTCCTTTCCCGCGCGCGCGCGGAATTCCCTTTACTAGGGGGAAAGCATCTTTTTGGGTTCCGGCTATTTGCCCTTGAAAGGACACCTCCTTGCAACCGGTGGGCTTACTTCCGAGTAAGCACCTTTCGGCCTCTGCTAGGCGTCCGGAGGCGAGCGATGCAACTTGGCAGGACAGTCTGCAAGGGCCTGCGAGGAAAAGAGACGTTTTCCCCCTCACCTCAGGCTTCCAGGGCAATCCGGAGCCAAATGGAGCCAAATCCCCGAGGCCGAGGAGCAGGAGGAGGAAAGAAATCCAGTCGCCCCGTTTCCCCCGAAGATCCAGGCGTAACGGCTGTTCCGGGCAATCTGTCGCGTTTCTCTCGCCCCCCTTCCCTCTCCAAGCCCCTCCACCAGTTGCTCTGTCCCCGCTCAATTATAATTACCCCGTCCGAGAATTAATTATAATAAATGTTTTCTTGATAAACTAACGAGATAATCCGGGCGGCACACGTTCTTTAATTACGGGACACCGGCAACAGCGCTCAGAATCATTTGGGCTGATTAATTTTCTGCATGATAACACGATGAAAGA